ACGGGGGGGAGGGGGTCCCGGAGGCGGTTCCCCAGGTGGCCCTGGCCTGGGCCTCAGCAGCCTTGGGGAGGAGCGCTTCCCAGTGGTGAACACGGCCTACGGGCGAGTGCGTGGTGTGCGACGCGAGCTCAACAACGAGATCCTGGGCCCGGTCGTGCAGTTCTTGGGCGTGCCCTACGCCACCCCACCCCTGGGCGCCCGCCGCTTCCAGCCGCCAGAGGCCCCAGCCTCGTGGCCTGGTGTACGCAACGCCACCACCCTGCCACCCGCCTGCCCGCAGAACCTGCACGGGGCGCTGCCCGCTATCATGCTGCCTGTGTGGTTCACCGACAACTTGGAGGCAGCCGCCACCTACGTGCAGAACCAGAGCGAGGACTGCCTGTACCTCAACCTCTACGTGCCCACCGAGGACGGTAAGGGCGGGGGCACCAGGTCGGGCACTCCGTGAACACAGCCCACAAACACACATGCAGAGCCTCAGGCACCGGCGCAGTCCGGGCGGGAGCTGGGCTTTGTAGGGATAGTGAGCCGACAGTATGTCCCCGCCAGCCCTGCTTGCCTTCCAAGGGTGGTTTCGGTGCCTGCCGAACAGTCCCAGGAATGAATCCCATAGACAGCCGCCCCAGAAGTTCATTGTGCCCACAGAGAACCAGTGGTAAGGTCAGCAGGCACTAGGCTGGACTTATACCCATCCTGTCCCCACAGGGGAGGCATCCATCACCTGCCTAGACACCCATCCCAGCTCTACCCCACCTCCCACTCTCAGGCCTGGGCTCGTCCCTGGCTTGTCCACTTTAGCAACATCTGTACCTCAAGGACAACATAGATTCCTCCTTTCTCCCCAGTTACTGCAGACTTCCATCTGTCACATCACATCCAGAGCCCCTTGTCCAAGCTGAGTTCCTCTTCTCCAGGATGCTATGTCCTCTGACCCCTATACAGTCCTGAAGGATCAGGGAAACTCCTTGCCAAGGGCCTCTCCACTTACAGCACAGCCCACCATCAAAACACCTTCCCTGGTGCTCTCCAACTGGCTGTCTTGTCAATAAACTCTCAGTTCACTGCAGCTCTGCTCATAGCCCCCAGCACACTCCTCCTGGACATTCTCCACCTGCCAACCTTCAGCACAGTAAGATTAATCAGTGTCTCTCCGAGTACCTTCCAGCTGTCCGCAACAAAGGTAATCAGCACAACTCCAGCCACCTCAACAGACTATCTTCACAGCCCCACATCGTCCTTCGAACACCCCATGTTACTACTCCAGAATATCCCAACACCTCAACAGAGACCATCCACTCCTACCACACCCCCCACAGGCCATTTTCCAGCAACTTTACACACAGGTCTGGTACCAGGAAGCCCTCTTCACCCTACCCATCCAGCACCCCCACATCATGTATTCAAGTCCCTCAACAGATCAGAATCTCAACTACTCAACATTCAGATCATGTACCCACCCAGCCTACACACTGGCCATGTATGTGTTCCAACACCCTACATACCACAATTCCCAACACTGTCACATACACAGTGCATACTCCAACGCTTCTCTAAAATTGTATATCCCATCAGCCACACCTGTGGCTCCCAGTATCCCTGGCTATAGATCCTGTGTCTAGTAACACCCATACATAGATAGACCTTTATCTCAATAACACTGCACTGGACCGTGTGCTCCACCAGGCCACTCAGACCACATAGTCCCTGTACCCAAGTACAGAACATGCCAATCACAGAACATCTCATTTACCTCAACCC